TTTTTTTACCTGTATTTGTGTATCCACTTAAGATCCTGTTAGTGCCCTCAACGTGTAATAATTAGCTCTAATATATTTGAGGATTTTTTACCTTTTAGATTTTTCTACTTGTGTATGTGTAAACATCCTAATCCTCATGTATCCACTTAAGATTTTATCAGTGTCCCCAATTAGTTTGTCAAAAGCTAAACACCTTGACACTTAAATAAAGTCTTACTATCACTACCGCTGCATGTCCAGAAAGGGTTTTGTCACCTGAAAATGAGCTCCTATTAACACTGATGAAGCTGCGACTTAGTTTAAATAGCCAATTCCTTGGTCATTTGTTTGGAGTGTCATCAAGCCTTGTGACAGTTGTTCTGTCTACATGGCTTCCTCTTCTGTCATTGGAACTCAAGCCTCTCATCTACTGGCCAACACGACAGCAAGCACAGAATTACTACCCGACTGTTTTAAAAAATATAAGAATGTCATAGCCATCATTGACTGTACCGAAGTGCCCATTCAGAGACCTTTATTAGCCCTAGCTAATGGACAGATTTATTCATTTCACAAGGGAAGGCCTACTGCTAAGCTACTAGTTGCCTGTACACCAGTGGGAACTGTTTCTTTTGTTTCATGTGGTGCAGGAGGCGCAATGAGTGATAAAAGACTTGTCAAAAAAAGTGGGATCCTATCCAAATTTGAACCAGGAGATACTGATCTTGCAGATAGAGGCTTCAATATACAAGAACTTCTGCTTCCTTATCAAGTAAACCTCGCTATCCCCCCTTTTATGAAGAAAAGGAAGCAGTTTTCCTTGGAAGAAGATGCTCGCATCAAGCAGGTGGCAAATGCTCGAATTCATATTGAGCGGGTGATTGGTAGAGTGACGGACTTTGACACCTTAAGATCGGAGTTACCCCTAGACATGTTTGACCTATTTAACCATATGGCAGTAGTAATGCCATATATATGTGCATTGTCTGTTCTGCAGGAGCTGTACAAAATGAACTGGTGAATGCTAGAAACTCGTGCAACCACATCCTTTCTGCTCAAACGAAAATTTCGAGATCCGCAAATGGTTGGTCAATGAGATCGGCATTGAATTCATTCATAAACAGTATTTGTATCTAAAAGCTGCTAAATTGTAAAGACTACTTAACTCAATTTCATCCCAATATTTTTCCTCGTTGATCTGTGATAGCTCAGGGTAGCTGAAAGCACTATCCTCCCATCCTTTGATTAATGCATCTGGGTCGGGAAGAATGATTCTCCGTCCCTCTAGACTTCGATAAGCGTTCACTCTCCACTTCTCTTTGACTTTCTCGAACACTCTTGACTACTTTAAGCCCCAATTTACGCGCGAAAACAGCAAGGATTATTAATCCCTGTTTATTTGTGTTGCCTACTGGGACTTCTCTTTCTAACAAGTATGATATCAACTTTTCTACTCCCCAGCTTTTAAAATTATCTTCGTCATTTTCCGCATCTTCCCGATCAAGCGACGCCATCTTGGAAATGATGCCCCCCTTTCAACCCATAGTCCTTTGCGAAATAGATTTATTCAATATGGCGTCCAATATCCGTAAAATGGGCTATGGCAATGAACCTACGTTTCGCAAAGGGGAATCGTGGATCCTAGCATCCGTTAAAACATCGCCCCAAGTCGGCCAGAAGGTGAAATTAAAAATTATCTAGCTTTACTTACGTGAAAAAATACAAGCGACGTTTATCCAACTTGCATCGAAACTCGCAGATCGGGGAGCTGGCTGTGAATAAATTAGTATATTATTAACTTTTAAAAAATATTCGTAACAGATATATTATTATTTCCGGTTCCGGTTGACGAAGAGGCGCAGTGAGGTCTGGCATTAACAGAAAATTAACAACTGACAATACCCGAAATTTTAACTAACAAATGATCTTTGTAGTCAGATTGGTCAACGAACAGGGTATTTTTTCTTAATTTTGCTCGTGAAGAGGGCAAAATTACTCGCTCACGATTGGTCCTCGGTTGCCTAGCAACAGCTTAAGCTATCGAGAAGCTGTTGCTAAAAATTTTTTGTAACAATCGCGTATCGTTTCGAGATAGTTGACGAGGAATATATCAAAGAATTAAAAGACGAGAGCAAAAATGAAAACACGAAGAGAAGCACGGAGTACTGGAAGAACGTTTTCAAAAAGTAGGCGAATGAAAGAAACTTCCAAGCAAATTTAGAAGAGTACGAGAGCGATGTCCTCGACCAAACACTGTCGCAGTTTTATGCCGAGTTACGAAAAGAAAACGGGGATGACTACGAGCCCGACTGCCTGAAAGCAATGCAGGCATCACTGGAGAAATATCTAAATTCAAAAGCCTATCCAAAGTCTATCATCCGAGATAGGGAGTTTGTTGACTCAAGAAAAGTCCTGGAAGGGAAGGCCAGGAAACTGCGAGAGCAAGGTAAAGGAGAGCGACCCGGCGTCGACAAAACCTGGATCGCACCGGATCGGACCGGATCGGATCACGGATCGGATCACGGACCGGATCACGGATCGGATCACGGATCGGATCACGGATCGGATCACAGAAAAAAAA